GGCAATGTGTAGCCTGCATAATTAAATTGTAAACCGCCCAGAGAGTGCTTGAAGCGCTATGGGACGGTATATAAGCAGCACGCTTTGCTTTGCTTTGCTTTGGTTTGATTTGCTTTGCTTTTTTATTTAGATCTGGGCCACACTCCCTTAAAGGAAGGGCTCTAGAGCAAAGGGTGTCGCAAAAAAAAAGTTGATTTGCATATCTGGTTTTTTTAAATTATTTAATTATTTTTGTAAGCATTGCTATCATTTATTTATTCATTTCTTTCTTTATTTACATTTTTCTCCCACCTGACTGGTAGCCAGGCTACTACTCTGTGTTTTCTGGTTAACAGATAGCACAAAATCATAAATAAAAAATCATAAATAATAATAACCACCGCCACAATAACAATAAAATAGTGAAAATGAATGCCAGGCTGGTGGTGGTAAAAGGGATTACATAAAATTACTTATTTAGGGGCAGACTATTGAAAGGCTTTGGGGAAACAACCAGCAACGTTCTCTCCCATTTTTCAGCCCTGCTGGGTGGGGCTCCGCCCCCTCATACCCATGACTCCACTCCTCCCCCATGCAGGGTCCACCCTGACCAGAAACAAAGGGATTGGAAACTACTGAAGAGGAGGAGGAGGAACCCTGTGCAGGTAGTGCGGGTGGCGTTGCTTGCACAGCTCCACACCTTGGAGAGAAGCTTGAAAAGCAGGTCTTCAGTTACCTCCTAAAACCCAGGAGGGTTGGGGCCATATGTTCACCACCCTGTCTTGCACCTTCTTATTACGGCACTTTATTTGTATCACGTCTGCCTTCTTCATATTTTACATTTTGCTTCTTTCCTATACTTGCAGTCCTTCAGAGTCAGACATAGGGAAGTGTGGTGAAAAACCTTTGAAGGGTACCATGTCACCTAGCTTTTACATAGGGGGAATCTTAGGCAAGACTTTATTTAGATCTAGGCCACACTCCCTTAAAGGAAGGGCTCTAGAGCGAAGGGTGTTGCCAAAATAAGTTGATTTGCATATCTGGTTTTTTTAAATTATTTAATTATTTTTGTAAGCATTACTATCATTTATTTATTCATTTCTTTATTTATTTACATTTTTCTCCCACCTGACTGGTAGCCAGGCTACTACTCTGTGTTTTCTGGTTAACAGATAGCACAAAATCATAAATAATATTACGGCACTTTATTTGTATCACGTCTGCCTTCTTCATATTTTACATTTTGCTTCTTTCCTATACTTGCAGTCCTTTAGAGTCAGACATAGGGAAGTGGTGGCGTTGTGGGCTAAACCGCAGAACCCTGTGCTGCACGGTCAGAAGACCAGCAGTCGTAAGATCGAATCCACACAATTTTCTCGCCAACCCAGCAGTTTGAAAGCATGCAAATGTGAGTAGATAAATAGGTACCACCTCAGTG